GACACCAGGAGTAGTGCACCGAATCTGTGCACCGAATGACGTGACAAAATCCTGACCGTCGATTAATTATAAGTTATAATTAATCGACGGTCAGGATTTTGTCACGTCATTCGGTGCACAGATTCGGTGCAAAACCTTCGGTAACTGTAGCATTACTCAATTAGTATATAGAGAGAAGAGTGTGAGGTAGGTTTTTTTATCAAGGAATATCTTCTTAGGACTGATTGGGAGGCCTCCAACTCCTCGAACTGCTGGGAACCTGCTCATGAATGAGTTTGTTCTGTCAAGGGATAATTCAATCCTGATTAATACTATTTTAATTTCCTTCATATTGTGCACATTTTCTGTTGTTGTGTTGTGTTGCAACTGTGTTTGACTTGTTTTGCAGGGGGGTTCCATCAGATTACATTTAAATATGTTACTACTTCCAACATTTAATAGTTACTATTACAAAACTGACATATAACATAAAAAGAATTTCATGGCACCGTTTGGTTCACAATTTTGTGTTTTTGGGAAAAGTTTTTTGAAAAAGTTAAAAAAAAAGTTGAATTGGGTGGGTATTACGATGTAGGATTTACAAATTGTAAAATACCCCTTATGTTTGTTTTTTTACAAAACACCCCTTATAATAAAACATTAAAAGTTAACAAAAACACCCCCAATCCACCCTCAAATACGGACAGCCAGCCACCACCGCAAGAGGGTGGCCGGAGTCGCCGTAACAAAAACATTAAAAATATTTAGGGGTATTTAATTGAATTAACAAATTTAGGGGGTTTAAAAAATGTTGAATAAAGTTGAATAATATTGTAAGTTTTTGGGTATTTTACTGTTTAACTTTTTTGGGAATACTAAAAGTAGTATTCCCAAAATCTAACCAAACGAAGCCCATGTCATCATAAGTTTGCATCATCCACTTCACCACGAAAACCAAAATAGTAAAGGCATGCCAAACAAATTAGGTCATCAGTGAGAATAAAACCCACTACATCAAAAACAAACTTAGGAGCAAACAAGCCCCATACCTGCAAATGCAAAAACATAGCCACTTTTTGTCAAATGCGTACACATGAATGGTAGAATAGAATGGTAAGAAAATTTTTTAGTGGAAGTTTGATATTACCATTAGATGTCGCCTCTGTATGGTCACACGGATTATAGTTGCTATGACAGTAGAGGCCAATAAGTCTGTACATCAAATACATCTAAATTAGTATTTCAATGAAATCAAAGAAGTGAAAAAGATCAATCAACCTTCTCCAAAAATTAGATATGTCCAGCTCACAAAGACATAAAAAGATTAGTAGGTGATAAAACTTACTAGGAATAACTGCACTGAAGGGAGTCTTCTATCCTGGTCAGTTTGACCCAACATATGTTGGCGTGCAACCAGAAATGGAAGTCCAAATATCGGAAGAATGTGAGAAAACCCAAACGTATCAAATTGTTAGAAGGATAGCTTGCCGAACAAGGACGAAGTCATCAAACCTGAAAGATATACATATACAGGTCAAAACATTCTCCTACACAGCTATGGTCATTAGCCCATACAATAGTGACTGTGTGGCAACATGTGAGTGATTCAAATGCTAATGAAATTTTACGGGCAAGTTTGATATCCCGTTTGATATAGAATTTAATTTTTTTTTTTTTTTTTTTTTAGAGGAGGGGTAATTGTCTCCCGCACAACTCGAACAAGACCCCTTGGTATAACTCATCCCAGTAATTAAGGACTGCCATACGGACATGGGAAAAGGTTTTTTTTTTTTTTTTTTTTTTTTTTTTTTTTGTTTTGAGAATAAGGGATACAATAAATCTTTAAAATGCATTTGGTAGAATGATTCAAATTATTTTCAAATACAATCCAAAAAACTAGTGTTAAATTAGAAAATGATTCAAAGTTATTTTCACAAATTCTATAGTTTTTGATCTATATCAGTTTTTAAATATTATATCACACACATATTAAGATACAACTCAGGTATTTGAATCGTATTTTAGTTTTTGAAAATTATTTTTGAATAACAAATCAAATGGACCCTTACATACTAAGATTTTGGTAAAAGCCAAAAAAAGATCAGAGTTTGCCAGTTGTCCAATAAATGTATTTTTGACTAGTTAGCTCCCATGTGCAATGCAAGGAATTAGCACATTTAAAACTCACCCAATAAATGCAGCACCATATCGGAGGCCATCAAAAGTACACCTGAAGGGAATGTTATTAAAGGTTATAAATCATATGTGCAGGTAAATAAATAAAGCTCCTCAAATAAAACTAAATTATAATAAGAGTATTGTTACACATACCATGTATACAAATTAATATGGCATTACTTTGTAAATTTTTTATATATACAAACTGATGTGACATTACCTTTTAATTACCACATCATTCATTCACAACCATTGAGCTGAATTTTTTACATTCATTCATTCACAATCATTTTGCACTACATGAATTGGTATTTATAGTATCATTCTTATAATAACTATGAATTTTATAGATAGTATTATTCTTATAGTAAATTCCAATGCACTTCCCAAAATAGATCAAGTATTGATGAAAAATAGCATACAAGGAGTGCATAGCTTTGCTCTCAATCAGCTTAAGTTTTCAGAGTAACTAAAATAAATTACAGTTGATGAACAACCAAAAAGAGTAAATTCTGGAACCAAGCAAAGTAGTTGAAGCAAAACATCAAACAAGCAAACAGCAATTTGAATTACAAGCATTTTACCAGTGACCAGTGGAGAAAAACAGGCATGTCACCAAAAGGCTCCATTGTGTCACAGAGAGAGGGTCAAAATTTAGATTTACAAACAGTTTTATCCTTAGGATCCTGTTCTATGTTTCCCAACCTCATTATGCAATTACCTGCCAAGAGAGATATATTAAAGTCTTTTAGAAAGAGTGGTGGACAGCTGTAATCTAACAACAAGAGAAGTACCAATTAATAAAGAATATCAACTATTAATCTTATAACCTACAATAAACATTAAACTAGAAATCAAACAGCATAGAAGACAATGTCTTACTAAACACAATTAAATATCAAGTTAATAGCTCAACTAATATACAGAACGAAAAGCATGTCTAATTATGGATGGGACATTCATCAAGTAAGCATTTGGCATAAAAGCTTAAGCTAACAAGGGCTCAACAATAGTAGTAACCTCTTTTATAAGTCCCCTTACATGTCATGGGGACCAAATCAGATACAGAGAGGTAAAAATATATATGCAAATAAGTACCACATGGGAGATTTTAACTCAGGATCTTCACTCCGAAAACTCTGCTTTGACACCACATTAAGTTAGACTTGATCTACAAGATTTCTAGCATAAGCATGGAGGGGTAAATGTGATAAATGCCAAGTTAATTGCTCAAACACAACACAGACTAGAAAAAATACCTCCAATTATTGATGCTAAAGCGACCAGAGGCCCTTGTGTCCCGGATAGAAGAATGATTGTCGAACTGCAAGCAGATAACATTGCTACTGTCTTTATTACCAAACTATTTCTGCTATCTAAAGGCCCCCCTCTCTCTAACAATTGACTAAATGCCAGTAATAAAAGTTGTCCAAACCCCGCGGCATATATTATACGAGGGATGTAATTTCTTACAGTCCCATGAAGCATCAGAACTGAACTCAAAATATTACTTTTGACATCCAATGCACAGCTATGAGAATATAACATACATTAGTACCCCAAACAACAAACTTCCAAATTCCCCAATAAGAGCTGTAAGCCATGGTTATGTACAGCAAGTATGCCAAAATAGTTAGAGCCAGAATTGGCACAATTTCAACCATGAATGTCAACACAGGATGACCAGGGGCAATTTCAAGCATCCATGAGGAATGGGCGCTCATAAACAGAGAACTCACAGCCTGCTTTGATAGCCCAACTTCTATAGTAAATCATAGAACAGTGATCAAGAAAAGAAACAAAATTGCCTGCAAATATAATCATAAAAGATTTAGCATTATAATAACATTTTCAACAGCTGAGTCAATAAACTATTATAATTACAAAGAATATGCATATAATAAAGACTTTTTATAGTAACCTTAAAGGTCACAAGTACCTACCTCCACTAGCATCTTCCCTCTCTTAATTGAATAACGGAACTTGAATATGACAGTTGTGGCTAAAAGAAAATTTGCCACTTTTCCTTCTTCCACTGAACACAAGGTTTAAAAAAAATTATGCATTAATAGAAAAAGAATATCATACTTAAAAATAGAAAGTGCATTCATGAAGCCAGTCAGAAAAGAGTACTTACAAATAAAACTATTTGATAGAAAGCTGCATGCACGTATCATCATTATAAAGCATGCAAAAAGTAACCTAAAAGATATCTCCAAATGAAGAAAGAGAAACTCCAAACGAATTTTTCATCCTCTTAATAGCAAGGATATGGACTAATATTGAGATTAACATAATCCCAAAACCAATTCCCATCATCTCTAAGTTAAACTCAGTCCATTTGGAGCGTGCCAGCTCAGCAACACTCAATAGAAAATTAGAATAAGCATCAATTTCACTTTTAAGATAAGGTAATAATGAATTGCAGATTTCATCTCTATTAGACAACAATTTCTTGGAGCAACATGATTGATTCTCCTCTGCTTGAGCATATAGATCTGATATGTGTAATAAGTCTTCGCGGGAAAATCCAATGACGGATGAAGCTGAATAGACATCAATGTATCTTTTCACCTGGACTAATCAATAATTGGTAGGAAAGAAGTAATAAGCCAAAAAGAGAGACTCAAATATAAAACTAGAACTCGTTGAATGTTAGAAAGCCTCAAGGGTAATTACTGTCACTTGACACAAAGGTTATGCATTTTAAAAGATTCTGTCTCACCCTTTTGCAAAGTTACTTAATGAATCTTCTAATCTGTTAAATTTTTCTATTCATTCTCAATAGAGAACAAAGTATCTCTTGGTAAAATGCATGTCCAGCCTCNTAAAGCATGCAAAAAGTAACCTAAAAGATATCTCCAAATGAAGAAAGAGAAACTCCAAACGAATTTTTCATCCTCTTAATAGCAAGGATATGGACTAATATTGAGATTAACATAATCCCAAAACCAATTCCCATCATCTCTAAGTTAAACTCGGTCCATTTGCAGCGTGCCAGATCAGCAACACTCAATAGAAAATTAGAATAAGCATCAATTTGCCTTTTAAGATAAGGTAATAATGAATTGCAGATTTCATCTCTATTAGACAACAATTTCTTGGAGCAACATGATCGATTCTTCTCTGCTTGAGCATATAGATCTGATATGTGCAACAAGTCTTCACAGGAAAATCCAATGACGGATGAAGCTGAATAGACATCAATGTATCTTTTCACCTGGACTAATCAATAATTGGTAGGAAAGAAGTAATAAGCCAAAAAGAGAGACTCAAATATAAAACTAGAACTCGTTGAATGTTAGAAAGCCTCAAGGGTAATTACTGTCACTTGACACAAAGGTTATGCATTTTAAAAGATTCTGTCTCACCCTTTTGCAAAGTTACTTAATGAATCTTCTAATCTGTTAAATTTTTCTATTCATTCTCAATAGAGAACAAAGTATCTCTTGGTAAAATGCATGTCCAGCCTCATGACACAATCCGTATGTCAATGACAAGACTATTGTTTTAAAACTGAAAAGTTCTAAATGAAAGAGCGCATCAACATTGATTCTCCACTTTGTTTCTACAAACACAATAAGAATGGGACAATCAATAAAATCACACCTTCATAGCTGATTAACCCTGAAAGGGGAAAAAAAAAAAAAAAAGATGGACAAAGTTATGTTAGTCAAGATTTAGTATTTTCTAGCCTACAGAGATTGTAATATTGATATATTACAAACACAAACTCAAGGCCCAACATTGGTTGTTTCTCTTGATCTGACTTGGAATTTGGAGAAGGAAATATACCTGCCAAGAATTGACGCAGAGTACGTTGCAATAGTTCTGCATCCATTCTTCCACTTTCAACCGATTTGAGCAATTTCCCACATTAACTCTCTCTAGATTCCAAGTACCAGCACCTAACGCATATAGCTCAGAGCTAACACGCCCAATACTGAAAAGAAATCAACTTAAATAGGGTCATCTTGTATTAAAAAAATTTGGAACAACACAAAAGCATCATAATGACACTGGAATTGAGAGACGTTCAAAATCAATGACTGATCAATTAAAGCCAAAAATCCTTACAGTTCTTTCATTTCTTTATTCCCTGAGGGAAACAAAATATCCAAAAGTAATCTTAACGATATGTGAGTTGACACAGAATCATCTAGTCATTAAAATCCCAAAAGATATCAAAATCTTTCTTTTTTTTCCTTACTTGAAAAGCAAGGAAATAGTTTGTAGAACAAGTTTAACATTCCGACAATAATACTACAGGAATGGTTTTGGTATTAATCAACAGGTATCTCCTTCACAATGTGTAATGTACAGGTATTATGCTCAGGCAGGTGTGCATAATATATATACCAGCATAGAAGACAATGTGCTTGCATAGTAACATACAAAAAATGCATCAGCTAATTGAGAAAATCTCCTACACTATGGGACATGTGCACCTGATAAATCAAAAAGCACATGAACTGACGTGGTGCTCACACATTGGCAAAATGTGTCAGCATCCCTCAGAGAAATATTTTTCTCATGTCTCTCTTTTGAAGGAAGAAAATAGAACAAATCAGGAAGAAGTTTGTAGTAAAAAAAAAAAAAATTAATTAATTAATTAATTAAAAAAAAAACAGAGTTAATGCTATTATGCATGGGCCACAGCATACTACACCTAGTGAAGCGGAAATAAAGAAATTTTGCTCAAGGGACACCCTTTTAGACAGCAGCCTTTAGGCTAATCGGCATGTGATAGTTTTCCACCAACATAACTGACTTGCAACAGCATATTAACGAAGTCTAAAAGACAAATACCAAGTTTATTATAAATTCATTGTACTAACTTGAAAAAAGTTAACATGACTATAATGACATTGATGGGATTCTTACACGGTACCTTCCGAAAGGAAAGGGGACACCAAGCAGGGCTGACACTGTTACTGCAAAATCAAGCTGCAGACAGAAACTTAACTTTATATGTTTGATAAGAGAAGTAAATAGTTCAATCAAGTAAAGAAAATCCCATTTATGCCATCAACAAAAGAATAACTATTCTAACCTGTTGGATGGAGCTGATGCACGTCCTTTTCTGATCCTGAAATAGGAAGATGAAAAATGTAATTGATAAAGAAATTACGTGGAATCCCAACTCAAATGAGCAAAATCTTTGTCAATTTCCCAATATACCAGAGTGTTTTATTTTCTAGAGATTTGACAAGCTATAAGAGGGATATATTGTCCACAGAACCTGAAATTCTAAGTGATGTCTCTATAATGCTCATACACTATTACAAATAATATGATATTTTGAGCAGTAGTCCTCTTTTCCGTATTACTATAACGCCTATTTTCTTCATCTGTTGTCCTCATTGTTTTCTTTCTAGTATAGAAATATGAGCAAAGGGAAGATAGTTTCCAATTAAACTGAGGAAAGAACAAAAGCACAAGCATATATATAGTCATTAGAAAAGAGAGATAATACCAAATTTATTTCACAAGATGAAGAATCAAATTCAAATGGTATGGAGGATGGAGGATGGAGGATGGAGGCTGTTTAAAGCTCATAGCGAAAATTGACGTTTCAACCTGCAACATACCATTCAAGTTAGAATGACCGAGGAATAAGATACTAAGTCAAGTTTCAATCAAAAGCAAGATAAATATCCCACCTCTTCAGCAGTACCCCCACCATGATCACCATTAATAGTTTGCCCATGGTCACCCATCACAAGAAGGAAAGTATTCTCATGTATGCCACCTGGTTCTGACTGGCTTCTTATCACTTCGGTTACTTTCTGAAGTAAAATAAGTAGTTAGTTCATAGAAATAACTAAAGAAGAAGAGAGATAAATTGGAATAAGCTTGTATGTGTGTAAGAATACCATGTCAATAAACCTCTGTCATCTTCACAGAGTGAAATCAAATTACAAAAATATCCTAAACATCCGATACCAACTATAAATTACAGCTGATCTTGAAACAATGTCACGTAAGAATTAGTGATCAATTTTCCATTGATATAAAGAGGAACTGAAAATTACAAAGCCTAACCAATTTATAACAGAGATAAATGTGCCAAGTGCTCAAGAAACCAGATCGTAGGTTTAACGGTATATTAAAGTGAAAATTATATAGATAGCAAGAAACTTACTTCTAACATGGCACTGTACTGCTCCAACTTATCTATCATTGGAATGGAATCAACACCAAGAATATGTCCAGCATGATCCTGGATCACATAGAAAATAATTAAAACTAAATTCTCCAATACAGCCTGCACATTGCATCAAGGAACAAATATGCGCCTCCATTGAAACCTTTGATAATTTTATGCACATTATTAGAGATATAAATAGTAAAAATGCCATTATTGTGAAGAGATTAAAACAATTGGGGGAGGAGATATGGGACAAAAATATAAGACAACACCAACTAGTTATATTTGCTTTCAACAAGTGAAAGAATGGAATTGTAGATTTTTTTCTTCTTTACTTTGTATTTCTATAGTCCATTGGTTATGGGAGAAAAAAAAAGCTTGTGAATCATACCACACCAAGAAAATGTGCAATAAGGACATCCCAATCTTCTTCATACAAAGACGGAAATAGGTGCTCAATACATCCATTGTCCACCTGAAACAGAAAATGTCATCAAAACTTTGACCATGGAAAAAAGGCTTATTCAATTTTGGACGCAAACAAAAACCTTAAAAAGCATACCGTATGAAGATCTTTAACGTTGTGATGGGAACCTCTTGTCAATTTAAAACAAACCCAGCCACAAAACAGTCACACGTGAATATTTCCCAACCAACTCCCACAAGCACACATGCCCACTCACACACCCAGCACCCTACTGCCCTTATGCCCTTTATGCCCTTTATATTGATAGACTTTACTAATGGGAGGTCTCATCACATTGAAAGAGGGGTAAGGATAAGATTTTTTGAAATGATTAGGAAACAACTGAGCCCAAGTATCATCCGCCATCATCACTACCCGCTTTCCATTTGAAACCAACTGCAAGTGAATCGATAAATTAGATGAATGAATTTTCATGGAAATAAGAAGTGATATGACTTGCATGAAAATAAGAACAATAATATTCGCATAAAGAGAACAAGGGTAAATAACAGGCACTTAGCCCCATCAGTTAACTTCATTCCGCTTAAATTACTAAAAAAGTATCTGTTAATGGATGAATGTTAGCTATGGAAGAAAAGACATGTGCCAACTGCATTTGTGCAATATTGTTATGATGATCCATCGAACAAATGAAAGTTTACTGATTTCCCTGGACCTTCAATTCGTCTGTGATTACATTTACCAAAGGGAATAAAGGTAAAAGAGGAGCAACGAACCTGATGTATGAAGTTATCCTCAACAATGGCTGGAGCACCGAAGCTATTCCCAACATCAATAAAAGTTGGTAGTCCACCAGTTGTTAAGCCCTAAAAAAGTATTAATAAAGAGGTAAAGCTAAATAGAATGAACCTAGATAAAAGCAATAAAAAAGGAGAGTGACCTTCAAACGCTGCAAACTAGTAGTGGGTGGATCTGCGATAGCTTTGAAGATACGGGCAGAAGTTCCTTCAGTAGATTCTAGCTTCTGAAGAACTGGTAACCTGTCCGTCCACGGTTTTGACTCTGCAATTTAGAAATTGAGTAATACATGAAAAATAAACTAAAAGTACCTCCATTGGAAAATGCAGTTGAATGGCTAAAAAACAGTACAGACCTTTGAAAAATGAACTGGGAGCAACGAAATCAAATCTGAAAAAAGAAAACATTAGGTTAAATTAGATAGAAGAAAAGAAAAAATAGAAGCGAGAGAGTGAAGAAATACCTGAGGGCATCAAGAACGATAATGACTAGACGATCAGCAGGTCTAGTCCAACAAGTGGGATTTGATTGGGTATGATCAAAGCAAGGGGAGTGAGAAACATCAGAAGAATTGCTGTAATAAGGAAGCTCCGTTCGATGTAACAGAAATCCTCGGATGAATATGAGTATGCCTACAATGTGTAACACTGTCAACATCACCATTATCACCCATTTTCGTCGCCCCAACCCTACCATCATGTAGCTCCTAGCAGCATCAAAATTTAGTCCTTCATAGACCTGGAAACAATTGGGAAAATTAGGAATTTTATTGTTCTAGTAACACAATGGAAGGCTCTTGCATGATGCAAGAACTCTGTAGTACATTACACATGCAAGTTTCTTGTACAAATTCCAAAACAAACAATTTCACTTCACCCAGTTTCAAAAATTATCTACTTATTTGATTAGCTTACAAATTTCACAAAGTATGGACATATAACATATAACTAGTGTCAACATAAAGTAGGGGATTTTAGCTACCGCTGAGGTTTAAGCATAGAAACAAGATCCCCCTGAGATTTCTAAAATAACGAAGGATACCCCGTTGCCCTTATAACATTTAGCTCCTGACCATGACACCACTAAAATTCCAAATATACCCCAGGAAAAATCAATAAAAATAACTACAGTTCATAAACCAGAGTTACGAACAGTAACCATATCCTACTATCAATTTTCTACCCAAATAACCACACAAAAACACTGCTTAAATATGTTTATTTAAAAAAAAAAAAAAAAAAAAGGACACCCCAATCCGAAAAATTGCAAACTCATTAGCTACAAACTCAACTATCTTTGAGTTGTCGAATGATTTGATAAAGACTTTTGGGTGTATTACTCAAAGGTCTTAAGTTTGAGTCTTTCCTCATTTACTAATAGGGGTAGTCATTGGAGTTTTTACCCGACGATAGTTCAAGGTCTCAAAGAATAATTTAAAATGTGTGTAACTGACCAATCACCATAGTCAAGTAGAAAGAAAAAAAAACAAAAAAAAAAAAGCGCTACAAACTTAATAGCTGAAACCCATCACCTTAACCCCATCACACCTAGGTTTAATTAAGTGAATGGATTTACTAAAAACTCATATTTTTTGTTTATTATTTATTTTAATTATTAAATTATATGTAAATACGTTTATGTCCTTTAATTGTTTAGTATAACATAAATTTTGTAATGGCAATTTAACAATAAGGGGATAAATGCTATTTCTGAAAGCTCAAGGGAATTTTGTTTTTAACTCAAACATCAAGTTTTTGTAATATTCCTTAAAATTTATTCTAATGTTGGAAGGTTGTGACTTAGTTCTTAGGGACTAGGGTTGGGTAATATTCATCATTTTGTTTGATTTCTATACCTTATTGTTCTTATATATATTTTTGCAAATATATATATATTTTATTTGAGTAATACTTATCTAAAAACTTATTTTACCCCTCTAGTCATAACTTAAATAAGAAGGCAGTCTCTACCAAAGACTTTTAGACGCATAGGATAACTTTGATTTATTTTACAATTTCAATCCTTTTCCATCTATAAAAATGTACATTTGTAGATGCAAAAAATCTACCTTTACGGAAATAGGGTCTAATCCCGTGAGGTTGAGGCCACCAGTAATCCGCTGCACCTGCACATGCGAGGAAACAAGCGTGAAGCGAACGAAAAACACCAGGGTGGTGTTTGTTGTATGCACTCCGACGCTCAAGTCAGCAAGGCTAAGTGAAGCTAATTTAGTCAAGATTAAGGAAAGAGAAGGTTACCAAAAGTCTAGTAAAAAACTATAACTATGGCTGTGATGCGAAGTTCTCAAGAGTGAGAACTACGGGGTCTGAAGGTGTAATATCCCTGTCCCTTGTGAGAGGGTTTGCCTCTGTTTAAATAGCGACTGTAGGATCTTCGAGTCCTAGTAGGACTATGAGTCCTTGCAGTTGAGGTTTTGTGAAAAAAAAAAAAAAAAAACCTTTGACTCCCTTACCTTAGTGGGAAAGGGAGTTCCAACGGGTCTAAGACACGGATCTTAGACGAATTAGGATAGTAATGGACCTCTTCGATAGAGTTTGGATAGCGCTAGAGTAAGTAGGCAACCCTAGGCTCTAAGTAGATCCTAAGTCCAGTATGTGGTCTAGGATCAAGGGGCTTGGGCCTAGACAAGCTGGTGATAAGGCCTAAGTGAATCGAGCCTTTGCTGATTGGGCCCAAGTAGTGAACAACAGGGCAGGTGTACCGAGCGAACTTGATATGTAGACTCTATTGCGGGCTCAATCGGAATTGGGCCATGGCTTCGAGCTTTATTGAAGGTGTCTTTGTCTTTAGGCCTATTTGGGCTGGGACATTTTTTGTCCCTAACAGTTTGCCCCCCACTCTCTAAGTTAAGGAGTGCTTAGCTTAGAGAGTAGATGTTGTATGGAGGTGTGCCTAGTCGTCCTTCGTAACCAACTCGTTGAATACGTGAGTGTACTATTTCTCCGTTCGCGGAGCCAAATAGTATAGCTTTTACTGTAGGTGATGCATTCGGCATACCAGGCCGAGTGGGTGAGTGGAGGCAAAACACAAACATAACTTCACTCGGCGTATCTAACCGAGTGGAAAAGTGGAGTTGACCTTAGGGAATTCATCTGGTGCATCGGACCGAGTGAGGGGGAGTGGCGAATATTCGTGAAAATGCTCTAATTCGATGCATCGAACCAAGTGAAGGGATGTGCCTGCGAAGATGTCCTCACTTGGTGCATCGAACCGAGTGAGAAGATGTGAAGTACCCTTTGAAGGTGCCCGAACTCGGTGCATCGAACCGAGTGAGAGAAGTTATGAGAGCTTGTATCACTCGACGCGTGGAGTCGAATGATGTGTTGCGAACTGGTTGTTTGGAGCTTCCCTTTCGGCTGGGTAGACCAGGTGAATGGATATAAAGTATCAAAAGGTGTTTGATCAGGTAAGTAATGAGATGAATCATCTGCGCTCATTGGAGGTGTTGTCACCCGATCAGGTTGACCGGATGATGATGCTAAGGCAAGCACAACCGTCATGCTTCTGGGTACATGCGTTCCTTTGCTGGTAACATGTGTAAGGTCAGGATTTCAACCTGTTTTGGGCGAGAATTTGAAAAGTCGAGTCGCTTAGGGCAAAACGAGGTTTTGCCATGTAGACCTGTTTGAAGGGATAGTCATTAAATGCTGTTCATAAGTGTCTTTGGGTATTTCATCTTTCTCGTCTCAAGTATTGAAGAGTTTCTTCGTAGGTCTTTCGCAAGGGAGAACCTTCAAAGCTTTAGAGATTTTTCAACGTTTCTTCACGGTAACCGCTCCTTCTGAGTCTTCTTTTTTTTTATTTCCGAGTTTAGTATTGCTTTTGGTTGGTTTCTATGGTAGTATTCTTGTTGTTTTGAGGTGGTTTCGAGCATATAGAGAAAACAAAAAAAGGATTTGGGTTTTTCTTGGATTTGCTTGTGAAAGGGGATTCTCTGATTTTGGAGTGTTTTATTGCGGTATGCATGTCTAGTTTGGAGGAGTTGCATTTGTATTGAATTTCTAGAGAGACTTATAGTGATTTGCTCGAGTTTTGATCTGTTTTTGGTAGCATGAAGTATGCTTGGTTGATTTTTTGGGGTGCTTGGGTTTTTAGCAACGATAGAAGACAAAGTCAAGTTATGGGGTATTTTGGTTCGGCTCGTCTCGATCTGCTTGACCGGGTCAAGTGAAGTGGTCTGAGTGAAGTCTGATTTTTAGTAAGGGCTAGGTTACATATGTTAGAGTAGATGCCCTAGAGCCAATCAATTATTGTAGAATTGACTCTTTGTAATAATGTTCATTAATCAATAAAAGGCATTTTATTCTATATCGCGTAAATCATTATTATTGCAATATGTATTGATATATGTCCTTAGAATGGTAGANGGGAATAATAATATTTATTTCATTTGACAACACACCAATAGTTAAACACAGCATTGCAAATTCTAGCCCATTTGTATCACTCATGGTTAAAGCTATTGTTTAATGGATGAGTATGAGTGAAGTGGAAACATTATATGATATAAGAATTTGTGTTTTGCTACTTGGGAATTATAATTGTAATAGTTTCTAGTACAATAATATTTTACTAGAGAACGAAGAAAAGGAGTTCTTGTGGCATATTTCGGGAAGAAATGTTATGCTTAATTGGCTACAAATTCTGTTGAAATGATGAATGCAATGACAAAATTGGGTTGTTATAGTAAGGTAGAATGCTCAAAATGGGAAAGTGAAGGATTAAGTTTTGGAGATAGAAATGAGGTCAAAATTGCAAATTTTAATCTTTAATGGGATGTAAATTTTGAAAGGAATACTCAAGGCTATTTAAAATCGTCCTTACATGGAGGATATGAAGTTCAATATGTAAAGATTTTAATGTTTACATGCCATGAGCTTAGAAACTATCTAATACGGTTAATATAGATGACATGAAAATTTTTTCACGATTTCTTACCCTATTCTTGTACTGTTGGATAGAAGTAATTTAGACGGTTGATGTTGCTTATACCATAGTGTATTTCCAAAGGACATTAATTTTGTATACTAGATTTAATCCTAACCATCCAAAATGTTTTGATCCATTTGTGTAAGAATAATGTTAAAAGTGTGTAAAAAATGTGGCCTCATTGATCATTCCCATGTATATTAATTGTATGAAAGAGGTAGATATATAGGAATGGTTGAGTGTCTACTTTAAAGGATGCATAATCTTTAGGTTTTGGACTTGGAGCAAATAATAATATATATTTTTTTACTCTAAAAGGAGTTTGTTGCTCTCTATGCTAATGATTAACAACACCAATTGTGATTTTGGGATGATCTCAAGTGAACTTTATCTTTCAATCATGAGGATTACTATATATGTGTATTTTCTTTACTGGAATAGCCAGAATTCGTCCAACCTTTTTAGTCTTTACTAGTCACTTATGAGGATTATGTACTTAATAGGTTTTATTGATTTCATTATTCGTGGGTTTTGTAACACTTCTAGTTGTTGACGGTCAGCAAATATCATAAGTCAGAGGTACATGGCAGTTCCACATTTATGCACTAGGTATAATCCATCGAATCTTCTTGAATTTCTTTTTGTGCTGCACTTGATCTGAGTTTTTATTATGTTCATACTGTGCTCTGATTAATGTGGATGCCTAAACTTTGCTTGTAGATTGCACCTACCATAAAAATTTTCTTGTGGGATGTGTTTTGAATTAAGCCCTATTCTATTTAATGTGTCTCTTGCATCTACTCAGTGTTTACTAACCGTTTTGATTTTGTTATTGAATTTTGTATCATGAAATTAAAAGAAACTTTGATTTGAATGTTCTGAATACTAGAAGGCCATTTATCTTTATTGTGCAGCTGATTCCACTGCCTTCGGTATCTGCTCTAAACGTGGGGCTTCTGGACGGAGGATTCGACTTGGTATTA